ACCAAAAATTGAGTCCATGAAAGAAAACATCTGCTGTTCTGTAAGTGTCCACACTGCTTTAACAGTGGTTTCATGGTTTCACATTGAGAAGTACAGAGATAATCAGAGACTTGCAAATTTCTTTGTGTTAAAAGAAATGTAGCACTGTTAAATATGACTTAACCACAAAGCTAAGTATTTTTGAACGCATCTGCTGATGGCATCCATATCTGTGATTTATCTACATGCAAGCAGATCCTACTTTATAACCTGGGAGAGACAATATGAAAAACTTTGCACTCTATCACTTCATCTCTAGTGCTTGCTTGGCCCCCCAGTCTAAGAGTGAGATCAGAGCTGATGAAAGCCTGAACTCATCATCACTCTGCTTCCTTTCTTGAAGATGGTCGTGTTTGTGCATAGAGGGTAAACAAGCAATGGGTTTGAGGAGATAAAAGATTGGTGGTTTCCCAGAGACTACGCCTTTTCTCACTGCTAAAGAAATTCCCGTGTTCTGCTGACTCTCTCTCCTTTAGAGGAAAAATGTGCTGTACTGGGGTGGAGTCATCAGGGCAGATTTAATGGCGAATGTTTGTTGTGTTACCCCATATACAACTGCTGAAATCTGCATGAGGCTGTATGCTCAGCAAAGTTTTCCCGAGTAGCTGATGCTACTGGTTAACCATTCATCAGATCTTTAGATCTAATGGTCTTAGATCTTTAGGTCTCTGAATGATATTATGTGGAAGCTAAGGTATTTTTAATTTTTTACTGTGAGACAGAGAAGTAGTGTGGTTTATCTCCAGCTGGCAACTAAGTACCACATAGCTGCTCACTCCATTACCCTGCCCCGCCTACTAGTGGGGAGGAGAATGGGAAAAATGGTAAAACTCATGGGTTGAGATGAGAATAATTTAATAATTGAAACAAAGGATAATATAATAATGAATGCTACTACTAATAATAATTGCAATGAAAGGGAGATAGAGAGAGCGAAATAAAACCTAAGAGAAGCAAGTGATGCACAATACAATTGCTCACCACCTGCTGACTGATGCCCTGCATATCCCTGAGCAGCAGTTGGGGATTCCCAGACAGCTCCCCCCAGTTTATATACTTATCAGTCCACATTTAGTTTGCCTAATTTAAATGTCCATGTTTAGAGCCCCTTCAACCCACTCAACCATTGAAATAACTAAATATTTTGCACAATAACTTGTTTCAGATGGTATATAATTTACTTCCTGAAGGTGTCCAGTGTCTGTAACTGACAAGAGGGCTTTGACGTGCAGGTGAGGCTCTGTTTGTCTGAAACAAAGGTCTCTTAACTATCTGGAATTATGGGGTTGATTAGGGTAGGGCTGATACATTGGTCTACTAGTATTTGTCTAAAACTGTTCTTGTTGTAAGGTTGTTTTCAGTTGCATTAGTTTGTCTGATATTACCTGGCTGGATGCAGAGTTTACGTACTTAGCATCTGTATCAAGGCAAGTAATTTTTTTTTTGAAAACGGAGTAATAACAATTACAGTAAAGTGATACCAAGAGTGATAAGGTTATTTTGGGCATGTTAAAATTATAATGTTCACTTTTCTGAGGCTTGCCAGTTAAATTTCCCCAGGATGATTTCGCATGAGCAAATTCAAGTTTGAGGCAGAGTCTATCCTTGCAACTGGTTTTTGTAGTTATTTAACTCCTGTGGACTTGTCGGCTGTCTAGGCAGTAACTAAGGATCTGTGTTGCACTTCTGTATAAAGAAAGAAGAGAAAGCTGTCAAAAAAAGGAGCAAACTTCATATTTTTCATTTTCCTGGTGCCTCGTTCCCTTCGTATGCTTCAAAAGTGGAAAAGGAAGTCACTAGTACCAAAACAAAACCGGGAGTTTTTCCAGCAAGAACTGTGTATTGGAAACTACAAACAGCAGGCTCATGCCAGAGGAGGACGACGTGTATTTTTTTTTTTAATCTCTTAATTTTGCGCCCTCTCTTCCTTACATGCAATTGAGCTAAGCAAAATAGTAATGCCAGTGTAACAGGGTTAGTTTCTTAGCTGTGGTGCTCCACTGGCACAGCTCTGCTAGTGGGCCTTGTGGGTATCATCTCTCTAATGCCAAAGAAACAGATGAGAAGCAGCAGTATCTGACCAAACATCTTTGTTTCGCTTGGCATGATGTGTATTTATGGGTATGAAGGTGTCTCATGCACCAACTTGGAAAGAGCAAAACAATAAATGGCAAGAGTTTTTGTGGAGGTGAAAAAAAATAAAATTAATACGACTGAAATGCATCCATGTGCACGAAAACCCACAAAAGTAGGTAGTGCAGTGACTGGCACTTGATGCAGTTCTTACATCAGCCATCAGTTTCTGTAGTAGTAACAAGCAAAGAGATTTGGCAAACGATTAGCCCCAACCCTAAGTTTATCTTCCTGTCACCTAGGGACACAAACTTTCACCTTAAATCCTTATGAGGGTCCCTTCCCTTGTGTGTGTTTGTCTTTGTTTGATAGTCTTTGCTTCGGTGCCCTCTTGTGGTTTCATGTATTGACAGGGTAAAACTTTTTAACACAACTGTTACTATTAAAAGATGTCGTAAGTAATAATGCTCAAAGTGTAATCAGACAGCTTAGACGATCCCTTGCAACTCCCTGTTTTGCTTTGAACTCGTAATTCTCCGTATGTTGGACTTTCTATCCAGAGAGTCTTAACTGTCTCTGTGCAACTAAACCCATTTATGTTCATGCTGTCACGTGTATTGGTCTTATGCAATTGTGGGAATATTACAGATAGAAGGGCTGGACACTTGGGGAACCTTTATGTTATGTTTCAAATGACTGAATAATCTTTGCCTTCTCTTGCTTTGTCTGCACAGCTTATTTGTGCTTAGAATGCTCAAAGGTACAAGGTAAAATGAGAAGGTTTTAGAGATAAATCATAAACACGTATTTATATTTTGCCCAGGTAAAAGTATATTCTCATATATGTGTTTGTGTTGATATGTGATAATGTCTGTCCTTATTATCCGTCAGTTCATTATTTGATTTTTGTGCCGAATTACCTACAAATTTCCTTTCCATGATTCTGTAGTATGATCTTGGAGGTTGAACTCAGTGATCTCAAAGGTTGGAGTTGATCATCTCAGAGGTCTTTTCCAACCTAAATGATTCAGTGATCATTTTTCAGTGTGTGCATTGGACATGCCTGCGCTGTGTTTTGAGGTGATCATTGAGCAGCCTAGCTTATCTCATCAGCCTTAAGACAGAGATCTGTGACAGGGTGCATGATTTAGTTACTGGATTAACAGCAAGTTTCTGTTGAGTGCAAAGGATTGGTGTTGCTTGTCTCAAAGAATTGTGAAAAACAGCCCTAACAACCAGCACTGTGTTTAACAAGTGAATGTTTTAAGTCTTGTTGATTGCTCTTGTCATGTTTTTAAAAGGAACACAGACTTCTTTGGGAACTGGGAGCTGCCTGTGCCTAGTGTAGAGGACAGCATCCAGTTTGGGTTGTTATTTGTTTTCTTTCCCAGATGTGTTAGGTTCTGTTAAGGTAAGGAGCAATTCTGTGGGGTAGTGGGCACAGCTGAAGCTGCTCAGGGAAGGAGTCTAAAGGTCAGCAAAAGGAGTCTGAAGGCAGGGCAGTAGGGCTGGGCAGGCTTACCTTCCAGTTGGGGGAAGAGGATTTCTGGGGGTTACAGGCAGTTGGGCTGAGTTTCCTGCAACGCCCTGGCTGTCCTGAGTCTTATGTTGGGAACCAGGCACCCCTCCCTAAGGACAAGTGTGTGCTTGCAGCTCAGAAAGCCAACTATGTGCTGGGCTGCAACAAAAGCAACATTGCCAGCAGGTGAGGGGAAATGATTCTGCCCTTCTGCTCTGCTCTGGTGAGACAACTCCTGGAGTGTTGCATCCAGCTCTGGGGTCCCCAGCGTGGGAAGGACATCAGTCTGTTGAGTGCAGAGGAGGGCCACCAAGATGATTAGAGGGATGGAGCACCTCTCCTACAAGGAAGGGTTGAGAGAATTAGGATTGTTCAGCCTGGAAAAGAGGAGGCTTCAGGGTGACCTAATTGCAACCTTCCAGTACCTGAAGGGGGCCTACAGGAAAGATGAAGAGAGACTATTTACAAGGGCAGGTAGTGACAATACAAGGGGGAATGGCTTCAAACTCAAAGGGGCAGGTTTAGATTAGATATTAGGAAAACAATTTTACAGTGAGGGTTGAGGCACTGGAACAGGTTGCCTAGAGAAGTTATGGGTGCCCCATCCCTGAAAGTGCTTAAGACCAGGTTGGATGGGGCTCGGAGCAACCTGTTCTAGTGGAAGGTGTCCCTGCCCATGGCAAGGGGGTTGGAATGAGATGACCTTTAAGGCCCTTTCCAGCCCAAACCCAATATGATTCTATGACTCACTTGGGCAAGGGGTACCAGGGAACAAATCCTTATGTTCCCATTCTCTCTCTGATAGTTGCTGTGAAATTTTGTTTCATTTAAAAATGGAATCTGACCTAGGTTGTGTTTCAAATGCCAAATGTCAGACTTTATTTATTTGGGGCCTTTTAGAAACTGGTTATAAAAATGCGGGCAGAGCCTCTTAAGCTCTGGCTTAGTTGGGATTTCTCTTTGCTGTTAATTGGAATTTAGAACAGCAAAAAGGCAAATATTTGAAACATGCTGGGGGGTTGTGTGGTGATTCAGCCATAGTAGACCTTACAATGGGAAAGAACAAGGAATGCTATTTTCCTGAGGGGCTAGGAAAGAGCATATCTTAGAGGGAGGCTAAAGCTAGTGTTATAGTTTAGTTTCATTTCATAATATCCAACCCAAAACCTCAGTGTCTGATGAGAAATAAACTATTCAACAGGAAGCAGGATCATGCAAAAGTTACGAGCTGTATTTTGGGATAATCCAATATCAATGACATTTCCGTGTGGACAGATAATTTGTAATACCTTGCTTACCTGTCCTCCCTGTAGGTCCTTATTACATTGCATTACATTATTTTAATTTTTTAATTTCTTTTCATTTACAGCTTCCTTATTGTGCTGATATGCCTTATCTTCAGTGTGCTTTCTACAATTGAACAGTATGCAGCTCTTGCTACAGGGACATTATTTTGGATGGTACGTATGTGGACATTAACGTGATTGATGCATGTTTATTCTTAATGTGGAAATTCTGATCTCCTGAGCTAATACCACATTAAGCAGAATGTTCCTTATGGTTTAGTTGACAGGAGACTTTTTTTGCTTTTCCCTAATGAGTCTGTAAAGCCACAGAAACACTGAATGTCATGGTAGAACAAAAATCAAGTCATACCCTATATGGCCACAGAGTGCATCTGTGGTGTGTCCAACACATACAGCTGTTCTAATTAAGCTTGAATCCCTCATACTGTTTGGGTTAATCTTTTTTTCAGCCATACTGAAGATCAGACCATAGGGGGAAAAAGTTAAGTGGAATTCCTTTCTTTTAGTTGATGTCACATCCAGCTTTGTTTCACAAGTGGAAAACTCATGTATGTTCGTTGACTTTAAGACAACTTGCTCTACCTGTCTTATGCTCTTTCCCTTCAATAGAGGAAACATTCACCATGTTTATAGCACACTAATGCTGCAACAGATATGCATCAACAAATGCTCCAGGAGTATTATTGTCCTGCTAGCTTAGATTTCATTGAAGAGCCTTAGTTTTGAAGTTGGAGAGACATGTTTTTAAACATCCAAAAATTTTATAAATTTATTTTATATAAATTTGTATATTTATATAAATTTGTACCTCAGTTGTGGGGTACCCCCTGCTAAATCATAGATTTCTCTGTATTCGTAAATAAATGACCATTATTTAACTTGTGAAAACACTGTCACTATATTGAAAAAATGCTAACTAGCAATATAAATGTTTGTTCAAAACAGGATTGTAGGAATGCACCAGATATATTGTCAGTTTATCTATTAAATATGCTGAAGTTCTGTACCTAATTTGAACACTGTAAGAATAAGAATATAGCATATTAAATTTAGTGTCAGTCATGCTATTTCTACATGAAGTATGTTCATGCCTGGTATATTATTTTTAACTAAGTTGTAAGATATTTGAACTCATAGGTGTAACGTTATTAGTGCCAACTAAGAGCTTCTATACACTTACTTCTGCACTCAGTATCTTTTCTCTTTTGTGGTTTGGAGTTCTGTTTTTGTGTGATTTAAGTTGTTCTGTTTGGTTTTTTTTTAATCCATAACTAGTAGTTACGGATACTTCTGTTCATTTCTATGATGAATTTAACTTGTGATAATGTCTCTCTCGTCTTTGCAATATATCATAATATGTTATCTGTGTCTTGCTTCAGTGAAGTAACTCCTAGTGACAACATAACTGGTGAGGTTTCATTCCCTACCCCCACCCTGTGAAATCATGGAGCTCGTTTTGTTTGTTCCTGCTGTGTGCAGTACGTGTTGTCTGTGTCTGGGTAATACAGTCAGTGCAATGTGCATGCCATGCATTCAGGATTACATACAGTGTGTGTGATATGCGGTTATGTGTAGTGTATTTGTACTATTCTCTATTATCTTGCTCTCTAAGTAGTGAGAGAATCAGTGAATGGTGTATCAGTGTTCCTCTTCTATATAATGAGAAAAACTGTGATTAATTTTTAACATTGAAATCCTATTCGGGAAAGAAGGAATTGTTTGTTTGTTCACTATTGGCATATTCTGACATTGTTTTCTTAAAGGATTAGCTGTGGTAACTTTCATGACACCTACAGGGATTACAGGGATCCATCAATCCAAAGCAGGAGATGGGCCAATGTGCTCTCTTCTCTGTCCAGTTTCAGTGGAACTCTCAAAGGAGTTGTAGTATCTTGAAACACAAATATAAATGTCAGAATCTGGTTCCTGTTGGTGTCTACCTAGTAAAATTTCCTAATCTATTATTTTTGTAAAAGATTTTACTTTGATTTCAAGATACCATAACAAGCTGTCAAAATCAGATGTAACTGAATTCCTTGGGAGGAGATTTAGTCACAGATGACTGGTTGAAGAGAATCTGCAAAATACAAAGAAAGAAGAAAAATAAAGTGTAATAGCATGTGGAGATTAAAACACAAAACAGGAAAAAGCAGAGTGCAAGCTTTCAACCCAAATGGTGCTGTAACAAGACATGAAAGCTGGGGAGAGCATTCTCTCTATTTCTCTGCAGTGGGAATTAATTTCTGTTTTGTTTGTAGAAGGATTTTTAGCTATTTGACAATAATAGTTTTAATTTGGAGCCAGACAATTCCAGTAGGTCGCATTGTCATTGTAGGTGAGCAAAGAAGGGCAAGTAACTTGTTTTACAAACTAATACTAAGAGAGAGAAAGGACAAAGGAGCAGCAGTGTACCAGCAACCTACCAGGAGGAGTATGGGAATCCTGAAGAAGGCTTTTTCTTGGGCTTAGCTGAGCAGTGAGGATGAAGGAACCTTTGGCCATGTAGAGTTTGCAGTTTGAGACCTCAAGTAATCCCATGAAATTTGAATTTTACTGCCCAAGTGTGTGAAATTGAAATAATTGAATTAATGCTTGGAGACCTTTAACTCTTTCTTTTGAAGATTATAAAATTGAGCCCCCTTTTCCCTCTCAGCATTCCAAAGGGAGAATTACTGAGGTGTTGTCAAGAGCAGATTGCCTTTTATTTGGATATAATTTCCTGTATAGGGTAGAATTATCTCTAAAAGAATTATGCTTTGTAGTGCATCAAATATAAGGCTGAGATAGTGTTACCAAATATTCAGTGAAATTTTGCCTACTTGAGATTTGTGGACTTATGTTTTGTGGGGTAGGGGGGAGGCTTTGACCAGGCAGCCATAGGTCTGGAAATGCAAGAAATGACAGTATCATGCTGAATGTCTGGAAATGAGTGCTCAGAGTTAGCATGTGGGTAATGCTGATCCGAACAGACCCTAGAGCAAGTCTGATTAGACAAGCTTACTGCATGGACACTGTAAACCTGATTCATCTTGAAAATGAGATGGCATAACTGTAAAAGCACGTGTGTGTGTGTGTATGTTTGTGTATGTAATCTGTTGTTACAGAATCCCTTCTATAACCCGTGTGAGTTTCATGGCGTTGAAGATGCATGTTGGGAAAAGAACAGAATCTGTTCCTCCTGATTGAAAAGTTATTTAAACAAGACCATTAAAAACACTCACAATTAAGAGCTGTATTGCTTTATTTCCTCCACATAGCCAAAGTATTTGGCTCTGACCCTGTAAAAGATATAAGCACCTACACAATTTCAGCAGACAGTCTTTTTGAAACATTAAAGTTACTAATAGAGGCTGAGTGTGCCCTTCTTCATGAATAAGAATTTCATGCTTCAATAATACAGTCATACAAGATATTACAATTATATGAAAAAAAAGAGCTCAAAAAGTTGTCAAGATTATGTGTATATATTATTTTTATTTTATTCTGGAGCTGCTTGTCTTATATCACCTCCCACTGCCACAGCAGGAAACAGATGTTATGTTTTCAATATTTTTAAAGCATTAAAAAATGCTTCTGTTTTTCATAACAACAAGGAAAATGCAAGCTTAACATTGAAAAAATAAAAACAAAGGCAAGTTTATATGTGTTCCAAGTGGTGTTCCAGTTTTAGACAAAAAGCTTACAATTAGTTGCTGAATCTTTCTCTACTTGTCACCACATTTCACAAGGCAAAGAGCCTTGATGAAAGCTATACCTAAATGCAGTTGTAATGGGAGATTAGGAGAGAATTGGCCTTTTGTTAGTTTCCAGAATGCAGTGAAAACTGTTTAAATTTGCATGTGTTTATTTTCCCTTCTTCTCACTAGATGGTGCTGTTGGAGGGGGTTTGACTCCAGTTACTCGTTGGCACTTGCCCAGCGTGAGCTGGAGTCTGAGCCAAGACTGTGAAAGGATCATCATTTTGAAGAGTCCTATGTACACTTGGCCCATGTAAAATGGTGCGGGAGAGCTTTTGCCATGACTCATAAAGAGAATGTGGTATATCTGTGTAAAAATTGATTTTGAAACTACAATGTATAAACTATGGAAAAAAGTAATTCAGAGATGTATGTTCCCAGAGAGGCCATATTTTTCTTTTATTTTCATAAGCAAGGATTTAATGGTGCCAGAACACAGCAGAGTGCTGTTATCTCAGCATGATCTAAGAAAATCCAAGTGCCTGATCCAAGGGGATTAAATATTCTGCTGAACCAAGGGATATTTAGTGTGCCTGAAAAAGCTATTTTCTGGTAGGAATCTCATTTCAATATTGATTCCAACCAAATAAAAAAAAAGGTATGTTTTTATGATGAAAGTATAAGCTCTTTCCAGCTTTCTGTTTTCTGAGTTCCTTTTCTACTTTAGCATACTTCTTACTGAAGAGATGAAACAACCTTTAAACATTAAAAAATATAAATTAAGGTAAAAGGACAATTTGTTTTGGGTGGTTAACATTTACTTCATTGGTGTTGAAATTATTCTTACAGTTATGAGAAACTGGCACAGTCTAGGCCTATAAGAAATCTAGTTTTTATTTTTTAATATAATATTTTATTTTGAGTATAAACCTTGGGTTTTGTTTACTGGAGTGTCTTGTGGGTCTTGTGAGAAAGAAAGAAAAAGACCTACAGCTTTTGCTTCTAAAGATGGTCTTCACAGAGAACAAATGGGTCAAATAGTTCAAAGTGGTTCCAGGATTTTTCTTTTCCGGTTATCTTCCTTGGTTAAGAAGGCTGAGACAGAGACTTACAATCTGGATATCGGTGCATTTGCATCCTCCAAAATTATAGGATGTAATTTAGTCTGTAAGGAATGTCTGGTGATAGATCTACAGAATGATCTAGTCTACAGACTCTGAAGAACAACTGTAACTGAGAAAGGGAAGACTTTGTCTTCGCAGCCTCAGCAGAGTTCCTTGGTCTGATCCAAAATGAGGTCAGCTGGTGTAGAAGGTGTCTAGTGGGTTCATGGTCTTTAATCCTTTTCCTTTGCTGGATCTCAGATCGACCTGTCCAGGGAGTCACTCACTGCAGCATTTCCTTTCTGTCGCTCCACTGATAGGTGAAGTGGAGAATCCCAGCTTTCAATCAAAGTCAACCTCTCTGCATTTTAGT